CATCTTGAACTTCCTGTGTCTATCAAAGGTTGGCTAGGCCGATAGAAGGCCGAAAGATGGGTCGGGTTTTACAGGATACCGGTACACAAAAGCTGCTAGTTTTCGGGGAAGTTGTAGGCACTTTGTGCTTGGCCCGTTGATTGAACCGACGCCTTTTTAATCGATAAGACGGTGACAGACGTTATTGAACATTTCTTTCTCTCATGAGACTCACTAGAAAAGTTCTTGACCACTTCACACTTTACAAAAGTACGGAAGTCTCTAACAAGCACAACTTATATGAGTATGTATGACTACGTACGGAATACATGACTAAATCATATTGTCACTTTAAGTCGTCCTAACATACGTATGTCCAAAGAGAGGAAGCAGGCCTTCAAAAAAGGAACATATATAAAAGTAAGCATGAGTTGTCATCTCTTTTGACAAATTGTTGAATTGCATTTTGGCTTGCTTGATTTTCTTTCCACCACTCCACTTCGAGCTGGACGCTGCTCAACAGAAGTTTGAGATATCGACCTCTGTGGCTTTATATAAGATTATGAGACTCTTTGTGGCACAGACTGAGGATCCTCAAAACATTTATTTTGTCATTTTTTGTAATTTGCTTGCCATATATGTTTGTCATTTCCAGATTTGCTGTCATTTGGTGTGTCATTTTGTTGCTTTTTGTCAGTGTAAACAGAAATGACATGACCCCAAAATGAGACACACACACACACATGACAACAAGATTGCATACCAAATGACAGCAAATCTGGACATGACAAACATATATGTGGCAAACACAGGGCAACACGGTGCGAAATAACTAAAATACACATGTGCAATCTGCCCAGGATTCTTACAACATCTTACAACGTCTCACAACTTGAATTCATTTGTTTTGCTTCTCAATGTCAAGGTAGTGTCGCTGATTATTTCTGGGGTGGCGCTGCGATCATGGAAAAACTTTACACTTCATGGGGCCAGACTGGAGCAATTGGCTCGCCTTGACCGAAAATCAGAGGGGCAAGTTCTTTGACATGACTGAATAGCGTGCTCGGTCGGATGTAAAGGCATCCAGTTTTAGTTTCAGCATGCGATAGGAAAAGAATGGCATTTACCATTGCTTATCATGTCAATGTTACCCAATCACAAGACACTCATTTAGCCACCCATGTCACTTCGGCTTTGGCGCCAGTTTGGACCTTTGCGGCCTGGCCGCTGTTTCTGCTTCTATCCGACAGAGGTTGACCTTGTGCATGTCACTAGCACTGTAACACACGTGCCCACGTGTATTTGGGCAGAGACAATGCTAATATTTGCTCTGTGCCGCAGACCTATGACAACTTGCTCAATGCTCGGGTGAGGGCCTAACATCTCATGAGTGTGTATCAGCAGTTTTGTTGCAAGTTCATTCGGTGAAGCAGATTTTGCAAAAGACTGTTCCAGCTAAGCAACCAGGCCAACATGGTGGAGAACCTGCAGAAACGGAAAGAGCAGCTTGATTTCATAAACAGAGGTTCTTCCACGAAGCCAAGCTCTTCCCATGCGTCCTTAAAGTCAAATTTTGTCTTCGGTTTCGCTCAGATTTGAATCTGCCTCTTAGGGAGCAGCTTCGGGAGCGAGAGCTGCTGCCTCAGAGCTGTTATTCAGTGCGAATTGAATCTTCGTTTGACCGTTTGTTGAACTTTCTTTTTCAGGACAAGAGAAGATATGAAAAGACAAGAGGTACGGACCAAAGAAGATTTTGTGAGAGTTAACAATCCATCATGTACTGTTGTTCTTAATGCAATTGGCTTTAATCGTCCAAGGGTGCAAACTTTGCCTTGCTGGTAGTTGAAGCACTTTTGTTTACTGCACTCGGTAGAGCACTTCACTAGCCGCCCAAAACTCGACATTTGTGGAGCAAGCTTTCTGCACCACCCTCATTGCAGCCCTGGGACAACAATCGTGTCAAGGACTCGGCAGAGAAAAGAGACACCGAAGCCAAACATTCAGTCCATTCATGTCCAGCTTCCCTAAGAATCTCATGTGAAGGTGAAGGTGGATAAGGTGGAGCCGGAGCATCGAGTTTTCACATGCTATAATCACCACTTTTGCCAAAGCTGGGAACCGAATCAGATCTTATATCCTAGATTCAAACGCAGCTTGCTAGTCCTGTCAAGCTGTTGAATGAAACAATGTCCAATTGTGATGAGTTCCATGCTTTTTGTCTTCCATATATTTATCATTGGAGCATTTCTTCTTGTAGTTCCATGCTTTTTGTCTTCATTGGAGCAACACAGCAACAGCTTTGGACTCATCTTTTTCATAGCTTTGAGCCCTTCAGTCCGAGCGAAAGCAAAGAGAGAAAGAAGAAGAGGACAGCCTCCAGTGGCGGCCAGTCGCTGCCGGTGTTGCGATGTCCCAAACGTTGAAGAAGCAAGGGTTGTTTTCGGAGAAAAACACCACATGTTTCAGGGAAATCGGTCCATTTCATCCGTTTTGGTGGTGTTTTGGGGATTGAGCGATTTTCCAGCAAGGGTTGGAGGCTGCGCAGGAACCATTGATCTTGCTACTATACAGTCTGTTTTAGTTTCTTTTTGGCAAAGGTGTGCTAGTGCTACTAGGTCGCAACTTTGTGTTATACTAAGTTATACTTGTAAGATCTTGTAAGTTACTTGCACTCTTGTGCTATCAGGAAGCCTTTCTTGGCTTCCTGGCCTGCCAAGCCACGGCTGTGGCCGCAAGTAAGCAGTCCAATTGGAATTGGTCAAAGTCAAAGAGGATCGATCAAAATACAAAAAGAAGAAGAAGCTAGTCGGTGCTAGTCCTGTTTTTGGTGAAGGATTTGGTAGGTATACCTGAGCTATCCTGAGTTTTTTACATCGACCCCCAAGCGCGCTCCATGTGAGAATTCTACCAGGAGGAGAGGAAAAGAATAGAGAAGGCAGAAGAGGACTTAGTCGAACTGGGGCGCGCATGCTGAATTCCTGGCTCAGCTGAACAAGAGACGCTACGGGAAGAAGAACTTAAGTGGTGATCAAGTTGGACAACAAGGGTCATTGCCAGTCAATTGCGCAGATATGTAATCATTTGGTTGCGTTATTGCTGCCATCGCTGTTTTGGACAAGCGCCAACTCTTCAGCAGAATGGTGTGACATGGGATGGTTTGAGTGTACAGTGTAGACGAAGATCCATGGTGCATGGCGCATGGCTCATGGTGCATGGCATGGTGCATGGCTCCCGCAAACTGACGACAGGAGGCTAGACAACGAAAAGAGGCCCAAGAGAAGGCCAGTCCACGTTTCGTTGATGCCTTTTGTGCTACATGTCCAATTTCTTTCTCCTTGGTATTCCCTGTTGCAGAGACCATATGCCGCATATACCCCTCCATCACGATTTCGTGAAATCCATACGAAGCGAGCGTGAAGCATGTACTGACATCTTGAGACATAGTATATAGCAGGTTGTACCATGTTGTCCCTGCTGTAGTTACCTTGACACCCACATTTGTAGTGAACATTCCAGGCCAGACAGTTGGCCAAGGCTGGGGTCGACAAGGGATGTTGCCTTCGGAGCTTCTTGTCTTGAAAGCGCAAAGCGCCTTAGCGCTTAAGGCCAAAGCCAAAGCCAAAGGCGCCACGAACTGCAACAAACGCTAGTAGCAAGGTGCATTGCTACTAGTAACAAGGACGCTACTAGTAGCAAGGTGCCTTACTGCCTTACTAGTAACTTACTAATAGCAAGAAGCTACTAGTAGCTAGCTTCTTTCTTCAAAAGAGTTGACACAAACTCTGTGAAAAGGACAGGTTGGCAAGACAAGAACTTCTTCATCCTCATCTCAAGGAGCACAAGCCTGAATTGCACAAGAGACACTGAAGAGGAAGACGCTTTCTGAGGACTCCTTTGAATGCTTTCCTTCTCTTTGTTCAATATTTTGTATGCACTGTATATATGCATGTATATTTTGGTTTTATATATGTTCAAGCCAAACCATCAGCACTGTTCTGCTCTCCTAGTGGCATCAAAATTGTAGCTTGCAGCAATTGCTAAGATGGCGGGCCCACACCCAACACCTTCAATCAAAGCATCTGTGCCGTCTCGACCTTTGAAAGATGCCGAGCATGGCATCGTTAGCATCAGTTGGCCTGGCACTTTCTCTGCAGGTCGAAGAGCAATGCCAGCTGCGGCCTTGATGAATCGCTGCGATATGAAGAGCAGTGCATTTTCGCTTCCTTCGGGTTCTTTCCCAGGTAGCAATGCACCCAAGACGCCTGATTCTGGAAGGTGACAGACGTTTCTGAGGATAGAAGAGAGCAACACGATCAATATGACAGCAACACGAAAAAATATCCTTGAGGGAGACAGAAAGCCACAATGGATCAACCGTGCAGGCTCTCCGATTCAGGGCTTCAGATTGGTGAGGAAGGTCCAAGTGGACAGGTTCAGGTGCTGCACGTGTCATTTTTGATTTTTGGTATGTTTTATTTGCTTCTTACGGATCCATCAGAAGTCAACAAGGGTGAGATTTTGCGATCGCCAGGTATCTACTCGCTGAGACTCAGCAAGCCTGCCAGTGAGTTTTCAAAATTTGATGCATTTGGCTACTGGGTGTCTCAAAATATCGGATTGCTAAACTCAGCCACGCTGCCCAGACTTTTCTCCCTATTTGACAGACCCAAGTGGATTCCACCAAGTGGAAAAGTGCTATGTCAGCGACCAGAGCTGAAGCGATCGAGCGGCTTCAAGTCCGTATTCGCCACCAAGCCATTTGAGCGACCCCAAGCGCCAATTGGATAGGTTCCAGCTTAAACAGATGTTGGACGCGTTTTTGCTCCGCAAGTCCTTTTATCATGCAAGAAGCCATTCCTCAATGGACTGCTCAACCTCAAAGCTGGCTTGGAAGCGGCTTGTGCAGTTTCACCTGTGCAAGTGTTTTGGAAGCACAAGCGCCGACACACACACACACATTGTTATACATAGACAAACTGTGACAGAAGACCTAGCAGCACACCATGATGTTCTTGGGTGACTTCTACTTCTATGGGATCTTTTCTCAGTTGACAAGTTTCTGTGCAAACGCGTGAGGCCCCCGGGTGGATGCTGCAAAGCAGCATCCACTGCCATGCAATTTCCGATAGACATGTCTTTGATAGTAAATGGACTTTGTGCGTGTCTCTTTCTCGAACTCACCCAAGTCCAATTGAAGAATCTTGGAAGACTTGAACACCATGCAGAACTTGTGAACAAAAGCTGCATTTTTGCTTTGAAGAAGAATTTGCTCCATGACGCGACCAAAGCGCCAGAGTCCTTTGCCTAAGGGGGTCGCAGCGTATCCTTTTGAGTTGGAAATAGTTACACAAAACCTAAGGTGTGGCTGCAGGGGTTGGAGCAGCGGTTTGAATCTCAGTTTGTGGCAACCATATATGTCGCAATGCCGGTGCAATGCCGTAATAATACCAATTTTGTGTGTTTTGTGTCAACTATGCAGTCGCCTTGCGTTGTGGTGGGTTGCGAAGCATTCGTCGTCTTTGTTGGTCACATTCTAAACAAAACTTGCAGGCTGCGCTGGCCGCCCCTACTTTCCTACTTCCATCGGTCGATGCTCCTGTGAGGGCCGTGCCACATGAGGTGGACACTGAAACAGAGCGGCATTGTTACTAGAAGCGATGCACTTGTTCCTAATAGCTTCTTGTTACTACTAGTAAGGCACTTGTTGCTAGAAGCGATGCACTTTATGAAGATGTGAATACTTTTGGCAGAAAAGATTGAACCCATGTGTTCAGCAACATGTACGCAGGATGGTCTACTGAATAACCGAATAACCACATGAGTGATTCCAGTGTGAAAGTTTGGATTGTTGTAGGCCATCGTTCAGCCTCAAGTGAATACTGCCGGCGGGCTGCCTTCCACAGGAGTGGCAGCCGGCACCTTGAGACCTTTCAATGTCTGCTCATAGTGATTCTGGAAAGTGCCCATGTCATCTGCTGACAGGGTTGATTTAGTAGACATTTGAGACCTTGAGATCAAGCTGTTGGCCACGAATGACTGAGATTGCTGTTGGCCTCGGTGCTGCTGCCGCTGCAACCAGGTCTGTGCATCACGCGGAATGAAGAAATACGAACCAAAACACAGAGCAGACCATTGTCCGCGACAATTGGTTTTGCCAGAGGCGAACGAGAAAAGCATCTCGAGCTCTGACCATTCGACGAGCAGAGGCGGGTATGATTGACACTCCTGGCTCCTTGAGGCCTCTAGACTCCTGCTATGTTCCTTTGAATGAAGCATGTGACAATGCCAAGTACAGCAGTAGAACCTTGGTTCGCTTCTAGAGTCCAGTATCATTGTTTCATATTGTTTCTAGTACCATTCTTGTTTCATCAGACTCCGCATCAAACAAGCTCTCTATCTTCAGCTCTTGTGCGACAGGGCCGCCAGTTGCGCCCGCGAGATCGAGCGGATGGACATGGCTGGGTTGGAGTCTCAAGTGGTGCCAGCGCCCTTCCACAGCTACATTGAGCAAATTTGAACAACTTTTAAAGGTCAAGGAAGACCCTGACTTTAATGCAGCTGATGACTCGGCGGTGAGCGCCGTCCCCTCAGCATCAAATTCCGTTCGCTTGACACGAAATACATGAACTATCATGAACTCTGTTTGCACTCTTCAGGCCACTCACACCATCGAACTGAAGAAGAGGCTTTGAGAAGCCTGAAATTTTTGGCGGTCCTTCTTCAACATGGTTGATGATTGGTCGGGCCTTTCTTCTTGGAAACACATTTGATAATGGTTTGCTCAATGAGTCTACCCTCTTGGCCTCTGCCCCAGGCCCAGCGGCATCAAAAGGTACACGCACGGGATTGATGGAAAGGGCGTTCGGATTCCCTGGCAGTTTGGTGTCTCGCATGTTTTCGCATGTGACCGCATGCCGTCAGCAGCTGTCAATAGTTGTTTCCCCCGAGGCAATGGTGATGGACATGAATGAAAAGGCCACATAGCCCACATGGCACACTCCTGCATGAGCACACCTGAGCTGCAGGCACGCTACCCAGGCGACCCACTTGGACAAGCTGCCGTGGCAGGTGTCAAAAAAGGCTGGTGGCAGCTGATTCTCGTTTTGGACATATAAATTTTGGCTGCCTTTCAGGCTATGTTGTCAAGACAGTCAATGGCACCGACGTCCGCAGCCCTGCCCCAAGTAGCCGCAGTCATGAGTTATAGGTTTTGATATAGACTGTCTTCCAACAATGGGTCATCTCTTGCTTTGTTTATACTGATGTTGTCTGAAGCCTACTGCAAATAACTTAAGCTTTCAAGAAGCACGGTGTCAGAATTTTTGAAAAGAATTTGTAGGGCTGCGCTAGCCAACATTTTTTCCTTTAAAAGAGGTGATGTTGTCTTAGTCTTCACAGAGAGAACACACATCACATGGCTTCTTGGTGAGACTTCTAACTGACTTCAAATGATGTTAAGCTGGCATTGCCCCAGACTGGGACTTCGAAGATATCATGGACCTTCTGGAGGAGGGGAGAATGAGAAAGATACCACGATGCTTCTGATTGGATGATATTTTGAGGATTTCATCCCAGATCCCGACGTGCAGTCTACGGCGGCTTTCAAGGGTGGAGCTGCAATCTCAAAACTTTGACCTCATCAAACTTGACATAGAAAAGCGGCCCGCCACACGAGATATTGCCAAGGCTCAGCGCGTGCGCAAGCATCAACAGGCCCATTCTTTTTGGGGCTTCGTGGGTTCTACGATCAACAAGGGATAATTGTTTGTCAGGTAACATTCCCTGTGACAATTGAGTACGTGGAGATGAAACCAATGGACAAGGCAGAGCTGTTGGTTGTTGAAAATTGTTGCATACGCTTTGATGCTGCTTAAACCATATTGAATAATTACGAAAGCCAGCCGATAGGCTAGGTAGGCTTGAGCTCTTAGAGCGAACGAAGTGAGTTAAGGGGGTGTGGGGGGGGGGGGGGGGTGCGAAAAGGCACCTTTTGAGAGGGTGAACCCGGAGCTTGGTGGGGGAGAGCGCTCCAAAGCGAGGGTCAGAAAAGGAGTGAAAATGGGGTCTGGTGATGCGAGTGATGCAATGGACGCCAAGTAGTGCATCATTAGCATCATGAAGGGGTCGCCGAAGTCTCCGTCATGCCTGCGTCTATCAACAACAAGCTGCTCACCAAGTACATGAGGAATGGCCAACCCTTGTGCGCCAGCTTCTAGACGGAGAGTTGCCCCAAGGATCCATGCGATGAGCAGCACAAGTACGCCATCGTGTTGCAGAGCGGCCGGGCTTGCGGTGGCAATCATAGTGCGCAAGTGGAGACAACTTTTCTAGTCCTGAGCAGGGCATAGGGACTGTGTAGCTCTGATCATACCAAGAAGGACCAAGCAACAAAGAGTGAACGCTCTGGGAGCGAACGATGTGAGTATGCGCAGTTGGGCGAGGTAGAGGCTTGGGGATAAGAGCGCCGCAAGAGGAGAAGCAAGAAAGCTGCAAGCGTTCAACGCTCCGATCTTGATCTCAGTCGCAGTGATACCAGCTCCACGAAACTAGCTTTCAACTATACGTGCCCTGCTATTTTTCCTCCCAGCCCTGCTCTCTATAGGGCTTCGCATTGACGCGCGATACCCGAAACACATTTCAACACAACCACGAAAACCATTTCGGGCATCATTCTCCTGGTGTTCACTGACGTTTATTTTTGCACGGATTCTCAAATAGAACACCAACAAGGGACGCTCCAGAAGGCGCCGCACCAAGCAAATCAAGAATATTAAAACATTAAACACTTCATGCTGTGCTCCGATCTTCATCTACGTCGCAGTGATACCAGCTCCACGAAAACTACAACCGTTCAAGAATGAGTGCTCTCCTCTTTTCTTTCTCCCAGCCCTGCTCTTTATAGGGCTTCGCATTGCTGCACGATGCCCGAAACACATTTCAAAACAACCAAAAGCCACCTTTTGGGCATCCTTCTCCTGGTCTTCACTGACGTTTATTTTTACACGGATTCTCAAATAGGCTGCCAAACAGGGACGCTCCAGAGAGCACCGCGCCAGGAAAATCGAGAAACAAAAAACATTCAACACTTCATGCTGTGCTCCGATCTTGATCTACCCCACGTTGATACAAGCTCCACGAAAGCTACAGGCATTCAACAATAAGTGCTCCGCTATTTTTTTCCTCCCAGTCTGGCACTACCAATTGGTCTCTCGCTGGCTTTCGTCCTCTCCTTTCTCAGGTATGTAAGGCGCTTGGCCAATTGCCACACAAGAGCATCATGAGCCCTCTGCCAGGCTGCTTCTGCTGGGCCTGCTGTTCCTGCAGGTGCTTGGATGCCACGTCTCAGCGGCTGGTCCGATGAGGCACCCAAGCACCATGCTAATTTACGCATTTCTATGCAATCTGACATCATATCGCGCAGAGCGCTCTTACAAGGACTTGATGAAGGAGCGCCAGCGTGCCATGGCCATGCCCGAACCAGCGCAGATCCTGGTTGTTTCCTAGGCCACATGTGCGAATTAAATGTGCATCCTTGCCTACAATACAAGGCACCAGGCTACAATGGCCCCCGCTACACGAAGGCAAGAGTTGACCCGCAAGATTTGGAACTCTTGGTAGATTTTGTTTGGGCAGGCAAGCGATGTTGATGATGCCTTCCTGCAGAGGTTGGAGGGATGTTGCGTCTTGCTTTTTCTCACTTGGCTGCCCATCGCAGGCTGATGCAAATGCAACAAACTGGACAACTCCTTCCCAAGAAGGCAAACATGCAGCTGTGTGCTTTCGAGCCCTCTCAAGCTGGATCGGACGTGAAAGGATGCCTATCTTCTGGTTCTTGACGTCATTGCACAGCTGAAATCCGAGCAGACCATGAACCGAATTCAGGACGGATGGGAAGCATTTGGTGAAAGCACGGCCTTGAATGGATGTTGCAAACGATGTCCCAACCAATGAGAACTTTCCAGACCTGCTTTTCAAAGCATCGCAGAACAAGTCTTTCATCGAAGGTTGGCCCTGGACAGAAGCTGACGGTTTTTGGCGATCTTCACGGCCAATACTTTGACTTCATGAACATTCTCAGCTGGACACCCAGGACTTCATTATTTGTTGTTAATTATAGATCTATATAATCTAATCTTAGATATGAACTAACAGTGGCGGTCGGCCGCGAAGAGGTAACTAGTAGCTTAAGTAAGCGACTAAGCTTAGGTAGCTACTAGCTACTGGACGCATGAAAGCGCTCGTACAATTCATGTGGTTCCTAGACTTTTTGGGAAACTTAAAGCAATGGCCTCCAACCTAATAGCGATGGCCTCCACATAAGAGCGGTGGCCTCCGACCTAATAGCGAACAACTTGACGTTCGCCAACCACCCAAGGCATGGCTGGCCTTCCATCGCCCAACACGCGTGAAGACCCAGCCAACATAGACATAGACAACTGCCTGCATATGCCAACATAGTTGCTGAGTCCTCATTCCTGCTGGGGATCTGAAAAAATAAGCAACACTTCAATTTGGATGATCATATGATCTAATGAGCTTCGCTGACGTTCTGAGGCCGTTCCTGTTCAATGGCGACTTTGTTGACCGCGGGTCCTGGTCCATTGAGGTCATTCTGTTGATCTATGCCATGAAGATGAAGCATCCCAACGCCGTTTTCATGAACAGAGGTAACCATGAAATGCTCGAGGCCAACATGATCTATGGCTTTGCAGGTGAGACAGGCTCGAAGTATGACTTGGATCTCTTCAACCTGTTCTCTGAATCCTTCAGAAATCTTCCTCTGCTGCATCTCGTGAACAACGAGGTCTTGGTGGTGCATGCCGGTATTCCTGGCCCTCGCCCTCGTGTGTGGCTGCCGGGTCAGACGCATGACCCCGAAGATGCCGTTCCGGTGAACGCGCGAGCCACCACGCTGGCGGAGATTGCCTCGGTGGATCGCTACACCGAGCTGACACCCAACTCGTACAAGGAGGCGGTGGACAGTGCCCCGCGACAGGAGCAGAAGTGGGAGACGGACACTCGAATGATCATCGATTTCTTGTGGTCCGATCCCAGAGGTGGATCTGGATATGGCCCTTCATACCGAAAGAGCCGTGGAGTTTTCATGTTCGGTCCCGATGTCACTGCGCAGTTCTGCAGAGAGAACAACGTGAAGCTGCTGATCCGATCTCATGAGGTGAAAGCAGAGGGTTATTTGAAGGATCATGATACCTTGATGAGTGTCTTCAGCGCGCCAAACTACCTGGATACTGGTGGCAACAAGGGTGCTTTCTTGCAGCTTGCTCCTGGCCCAGGTGGCAGCCTCGAGGCGAATCGTCGAATCGTTAAATCTGAAAATCTGAATGCCCACTGGTCAAAAGACCAGTAGGAACAAGTGCCACGCTAGTAGTAACAAGTGCCTTACTAGTAGTAACAAGAAGCTATTAATTCTAATTTAATGAAGTTTATTCTTGTTTCTAATAGCTGTGGCCTCCAACCCAATAGCGATGGCCTCACTGTTCAAGATCATTTTGCGTAGAAAAAATCAGTTGATTCCAAGAGGATCATTTGAACGTCTGAAATCCAATAGGCAACGCCAACAAGCTACACTGCAGTTCCTCATCCAGACCTGCCACCAATGTTCCACCAGGCACAGAAACCGATGTGTTCTCTTTGCTTCAAACCTGTCCTTTTCCCTTTCTTTCTTTCTTGCTAGGAGCAAGAATGCATATGTCTTCTTGCACGTGCTTTGTCATGGCAAGTGTCCGAACGTCTAAGAACTACATCATCGAGAATCATCCGCACCTGACAAGACAGATGAGGAAGAAGCAGGCGCAGCTTTTGGGCTTTTCAATGCTTTTCTGGATGGCTCAAATCGTTGCATGGTTCGCTAACCGCGCACCGCTTCGCCTCCCACAGCAGAAGCGTAATGACCGTGGGTGGAAAGAAGCAGCATCGGCACACTTGCTTTGCATGCTTTGATTGGGACAGGTGGCCCAGGCTGATGACTTCGGCGACAGTGATTTTGCAGGATACCAGGTCCGTTGTGTTTGACAATCTCAATTTGACAATGGCTTTGTGAGGGAACTCACCCAGTTCACGCATTCAAGTTTTGATGGCGCATCGAAGTTGCTTGGTGACTAAATCAGCTTTTTGCAGGGACCAGACGAGTGGGAGGAGGTCGATGCAGGAGCATCACTGAACGCCATGTCGTGAAGTAGCTTTTCGGAGCTTGGGCCGAAGGCTGGAAGATGGAAGCCTCTCTTTGGCGAAGATCTGTGTCTTTTAATCTTGCTTTTGGCCTCAGCCATGAACTTGGCCGCGTCTTGGCCGTAGAACTTCTAACCCCAAAGACCAACAATGCCAACTGCTACAAGTGACAAGGGAGTGCCAATGTTGTTAGCTACACAAAAGGGCCCTTAGCTGTGCCACACAGCTCTATTCTCTATTCTTAGGGGTGCTGATTGTTTCATGTATCTCGTTTTCCATGCTAAGATTGAATCAGAAGATCACCAGCATTGCTCCCCCAATGTGGGATCGCACGCAGAACGAAGTTTTCCAGAGTCATCATTCCAAAGCCGAAAAAGGTGCAATGCTGTCTTCGATCTGATAAAACTGACAGCAAGTTGTCACAGGATCAATCACGCTTTCCTTTTGGGGCAAACCTTTGGACATCAGTTTGCACAAGCTTTGCACAAGCTTTGCACATGGTCACAATGGTCCTTCTCAAGCTCTCCGGGTTGACCACTGAGCACCATGATATGAGACGCGTGACCAGTCTGGGACCTTGCAATGGTCGCAGGCAGCAAATGCGCGGGAATGCCATAGCGGGTTTCGGTTAGGTTTTGGCTTCTTCAGATTATTTTCAGAGCTAGAGCAGGCAGTTCGAGCATTTACAGGAGGCCGCACTGCGGGAGGCCCCTGCGGGCCTTGTGGATCATTCTTGCATTCATCGATCCAGTTTAGTTCGGGTCCCTTCCATTCACTAGCCACTGCAATTGCCACATTTACAACTCACTGTTGACACGGGAGGCCATTTGGAAATTGGGAGGTTCGACCCGGCGTTTGGAAGCTGCTTTTGGTGGAGGGCATGTACCTCAGCTTTCAGAACAATATCTAATCATCTAATCCTTTGCATTTTGCTGGCCTCCACCCTACTAGCGATGGCCTCCAACCTAACAGCCATGGCCTTCACCCTACCAGTAGGATTCTTTATTGTTTCTATTTCTATCTATTTTCGGCTCTTTTCCCTTTGGATGACGTTTGGAAGTTCACTGAGGCGCCGCGGTTTATTGACATTTGAAGACTTCACGAAAGGCCTGCGGGCGTCTGGGGCTTAGATTCCAATTCCAGCTGTCGCCCTACTGCTTTGCCTTCGTGTGAGCTTTGCCGCTTAGGATTGGTCTTTGGCTGGAGGACTTGCAAGGTCCGGGCCGATCGATCACACATCAAGTCACATTTCTTTTGTCCCGCTTGTTTGCACAGTACACCCCTAATGCCAAGAAGGCAGACAAGGCCTGAGGCTGAACAAACGAGATTTCCGGAGGGTTAAAGTACGTTAAAGTCAAGACGATGCCCATACGACTTCACTACAACTCCATACCGCTCCACGTGCTTAAAATCCAGTGGGCTTTTAATCGTGTCCCAAGAAGCATCAAATTCAATTCGAAGGATTGTCAGAGGAATTAAAGGGTTTCAAAGAAATCAAACGGGATCAAGAGGAATTCCCATGGAAGCAATTCATTTCAACCGGAGTTCAGTAGCAAAGGCTTCTTGCCATTGTTAATGATTGGGATAGAACGTCTCAGGGCTCATGAGGGTGAGCATCTCCAACCGTTGAATAGTATGTCACCAGACCTCTTCACTCCTGAGACATGCTGAGATGGTAAAAGTTAGACATCCAAGAAAGGGGCAGATTTTCAGAGGAAATAGCGAAGGATGCCGAAAGGGGCATCGGGCGGTTTAGTAGGGGGTCACTAGTCACATTTACATACATTTACATGATGTGCGCTAAATGAACCTCGTTTTGGGCGACATTGTTGCGGCCCTTTCCATGTCTTTGGCTGTGACAAGTTGATCATTTCGGTTTCGTCCTTCGGTCCGGTTGGCTTCAGGATGTGGTTTCAAGGATGAAGCAGCAGCCTTTCGACAACTGGACTGCTCTGGGTGTCCGACTTAAGCGACGCCTCCGACTCGTCCGCCTCTGGGCACGAGAGCCGCTGCGCCGCGTCGCGCGAGGCGAGGCAGTCTCCTCATGGAAGAAGTGACGCGGCCACCAGATGCCAAACTCCGCAGGTGAAGAGAATCAGATTCAAGCGGTTTGAAATGATTTGAAACTGATCCCATCGATCTTGAAACTCACCATTCTTGTTCACGGAGCCATCCTTAGTTTTCAAGCTTGCTGGGACGGTTGTGATGCTGTACATGCTTCTTCGACAGGTTGTGTGGCGCAAGCACGTCCCTCAGGATGCAGATTCTGTGCTTTCTCCACCCCGTCCCGCCCGTCCCACTCATTTTCCTGATTCATGGATTCTTTTTCGTTTCCATCGCTGCCTTTCCAGGAGAAGCGCCTCGAGTGATGGCTTTCGAAGCGTTGGAAGTTCCTCAGCTGAGCGAGGCCAAACGAGGCGTTATCCGTTCCTACCAGTTCCGAGGCGGATCCGAGCCCGCAGCTCGGGAGGACTGAACTCGAGCTCGGGAGGTGTCTCGGGGGATACGAGAAACGATGCGATGAGATACAGTTTTATATAGTGATGAGTGGCATCTCTTAAAGCCATGTCATGTTGTGACAGGCTGTCAGGCCCGCAGTTTTGGTTCGATGTCCAGGGAATTTCGCTGACACCGATGGTCCGTCAACTTGAAAGATCTTCCACCCCAGTTCCGCAGGCACAGCAGACAGCTCAACACACATTGGCTTTGATATTTTTGTTCTTTCAAGAAGCTTTCTTTCATGTTCTTTCTCTCTGTGTCTTTAAGTCCTTAAGACGTGATTCAGTGATTCATAAGTCCTGAAGACCCTCGGAGGCACCGGATGAGGGTGCTGACGGAGACCAGACACAGAATGCTGACCAGGTAGAGAAACCAAAGGCAGGTCTGCCTCAGCCTTGCAGCCTTGCTCCCCTTATAAGGTTGGAGGCCATCGCTCTTAGGTTGGAGGCCATCGCTCTTAGGTTGGAGGCCATCGCTATTAGGTTGGAGGCCATCGCTCTTAGGTTGGAGGCCATCGCTAGTAACATCTAGTAACTAGGAGGCCATCGCTAGTAACTAGTAGGTTGGAGGCCATTCCTATTCGGCTGGCCCTGAGTTGAACTCCCCTTCCCGCAAGGCACATCTGATTTTGGTGCTGCATTAGTCGTGTCTTTCCAGGATGACACGAGAAAGCCCAAGAAGGAGAAGAAAAAGGAGTCGAAGGCTTTGAACAGAAGTTGTGCAAGTTGGCGTTGACTGCATTTTCTCTGATTTTCAGGGTTTGCTGGGCGGAGCTGCAGAGATCGTGCCCATCTTGATCTTGGGTTGCTTGGCCTGATTGCTTCTTGTTGGAATTTGCTATCAGTCTGAGCTTGGAGTCCCCCACCAATCTACTGCTTGGACTCTTGGGGTGACTTGAAAAACTTGTCTTTCAACGCTCAGGCTACTTTGGGAAAGCCGAGGGCTTGGAAGCTTGGGAGCGCCTGTTGGCCTGTTGGACAGTTCTTTTGCTGAGGCTTACTGGAACATGCATGGAATGCTCTACCCAAAGTTTCCGGACTGCGGTTGCATCTGGTAATGACATGTAATGACGACATGGTGAATTGCTTGAGTGTCGCAGAGTGTGACGAGCATGGAAGGACTTCGATTCCAACCATAGATACCTGGAGAAGTTCCAGAACAGGATAGATGCAACATGGTGCAACAGTGCAAGACGATTTCAATTGTTTACCGCTACTAGTAACAAGTATATAACAAGAAGCTACTAGTAGCAAGGTGCATCGCTATTAGGAACAGGTGCATCGCTACTAGTAACAAGAAGCTACTAGTAACAAGGTGCATCGTGTGTTTATCACAACAGATTCTGCGGCTTTGCCTGGAGGATAGAACGCGGGGAGGAGCTCACACTTGATATATTTATCAAGGAGAGCAAGCAGCCGTGGCAGCACTTGAGCATTACCTCATAACTACACTTGCAACATCTTGCAACCTCACCTGACTATTCTTAAGTACTGCATGGCAGCACCGCATACAAGATTCTGACCCTGTGTAGTGGCTTCCCAAAGCTTTCCAGATGGATGCACGTGGACATTTGCAGTTGCCAAACCAAGTTCCAACTGTGGAAGGTCGCAACCAACAATTGCTCGTGATGCGAGCCCTGATTGGACAGTCAAGTTTCCATATGACGAGGAGGACTGAAGATGGAGCGAGAGGTGTAAGGTACTGTAGCGCGGAATAGCTGAGATGAGCTAATAGTGTCGGCTGATACTGATGCAGTAGGTCGGTGCCTACCTCTCTTTTTTCAGGATTTCATCCCATCTTCCAAATCAGTCTTGGTGAACGTCTCATCAAAAAATGCTGACCAAGACCAAGACTCGAGGCTGCAAGTCTTTTCAAGCCGATTATCGCCGATAGATTTCTTTGTTTAAAGAATTGAAAACAACTTCGAATTTGGTAATAGATTTGAAAGATGTGCGAGACTGAAGTAACAAACAGAAGCAAACAAGCAAGCCAGCCAGCAAGCACAAGCCACCAAGCAAGCCAGCAAGCCAGCCAGCAAGCCAGCAAGGCAAGGCAAAGCAAACGAAATGAGAAAGGAACAAAAGGCAAGCAGAGAAGAACAGCGGTTATCAAGGGAGCATGCACAAGCAGAAACAATAAACCCAATCAACCAGCAACACTAGGCGCGGATGCACCATGTAAAACACTGCCGGTCCCGTGAGAATCGGACCAGTCCACGTGAGCTGCTTCGGAAAAAGCAATCAAGGAACGTGACCTGACTCTCTTTTTAAGGCGGGAGGGTAGGCCGTAGAGGTAGTAAGTACCTTGGTAGCTAGTAGAAAAGGTAGCTAGTAGCTACAAGTAAGCTCCTGGTACTTCAAGGAAGCTCCCCCCCGCCTTCCGGGGCGGTGCCTCGTTTTTGCACGCATTTGAGCACTCGTTTTCGCACGGCGGTCGATTTGCTTTGCGTGCGATGTGTGATCCGCAGCCTGGCCCATCTAAGATGAAGACGTTGCAAAGTAAATCTCATGAACATAAGTTTATGTATAATATATATTACTATTTTTTCATGCATGTATATTTATGTAATTAGTAAGGTATATAGAACTGTCCAATCTCCTGCAACTTTTCTCCAAACAATGACGGGGACAACTGTAACATGTTTCAAGTGTTCACTTCACTTGTGCGATGCTGAAGCGTCCGTGTTCGCGGGTGTTGAAGCGGCCAGCAACGGATGCCCCGGAGCTTTCTGAGAGGCTTCGGAAGGCCCGGGTTTGTTGTAAGTTTCGCTCCATGGATCAGGAGGGGTCACCCTGTGTTCAGCAGAAACCTTCGCAGAGCTTCGTGGAAGTTTTTTGATGCACGAACTTCGTAGAGGCAGTTTTTACTGACACCCTTTCCGCAAGCACCATCCATTTTGCCTTTATGTGTGGTGGAGGTGGTCATTAGAATCTCTTTTTCAATCTCTTGTTGTTCTGCGCGGGGAGCGCGAAGGCTCTCAGCGGACCAGCAGCCACTCCGAGGAGGAAGTTCGCCAATGGGCCAAGGATGTGAAGCTATCGATGAGCGCCAATGAGAGGAGCTCGTTCCATGGATATTACACTCGCTTCACATGCTCTACCTGCAAGGCGGGGACATGTGCCTGGCGAGGTGTGGCGCAGTACGACTTCAAGTCTGGTGTGCTCACTGTAAAGTCGACCTCGGATGAGAAGCACGGTGATCGTTCCAGGCTTGTCATCGCTTACTTAACTAACTAACTAAGCTAGTTGAATAACCAGCTAGCTAACTAACTAACTAACTAACCAACCAACCAACCAACCAACCAAGTAAACTAACTCAGTAACTAACCGTCTTAATTTGACTTGGCTTCGCCTAACTAAGTAACTAACTAACTAATTGCCACGCACTAAGTATTCAACTAGCTACTTAACTATCTATCTAACTAACTGACTATGTAGCTAGCTAGCTAGCTAACCAACTAACTAACCAACTAACTAACCAACTGACTAACTAACTAATTGACTAACTAACTAACTAGCTAACTAACTAACTGACTAACTAACTAACTAACTAGTTTCCACTAACTAACGACCTAACTAACTAAGTAACTGACTAGCAAACTAAGTAACTAACTAACTACCTAACTAACTACGTAACTATGTAACTAACTAACTAGTTACCACTAACTAGCGAACTAACCAACTAAGTGACTGTCGAGCTAACTAGCTAAACCAACTAACTAATTAACTAACTATCTAATTAACTAACTAGGTATCTAACTACTTATCTAACTACCTAAACTAATATACCAACTGACTAAGCTAACTAACTAACTCACTGACTCACTAACTAACTAACGCACTAACTAACTCACTAACTATTTATTTCACCAACTAACTTACTTACTTCCCTAACTAGTTAACTAACAAACTTGCTAGGTAGCTAACTAACTAAGTACACTAATTAGCATGCTCGTTTGGTTGGTCACTGTTCCTGTTCATTTCTATGATGGCAGGACGCACAATGATGCTGCGCATGGCCTAATGCAGCCGACGAAGGACTACATTAAGAAGTTTCTGGCGACGCGCAAAGTGTATCGACTGCAGGGTCTTCTACAAGAGATGCAGCTGCAGGGTTTGCGAGAAAATTGTCCTGCCGAGAAGATGGTTGCGAGCTATGTCGCGAATTTGAAACAACGGGATGACCAGTGATGACCAGGTGCCTTCAGTGCCTTCTTTGTGCACGCGGCCGAATTCCAAGAAGATTTTGCTGTTCTTTGACCATTGTAAGCGTTAAGGGTCTCACGTGACATTCCCATCCCAGCTTTCGGTCGTTATTATTCGTTGCTCTTTGCTTTTGCTATCAAGTTAGAATTGGGGAATCCTGGCTGCCCGGATCTTCTCTCGGGTCCTTTGCCAAGTTTCTGACCTCCCTGCGCGTAACGGGAAAGTCTTTCAGCGGGTAATGGACCGTTTCTCCTCTGGCATCAGCAGCGCCAAGCCTGTGAGGTGAAAAAGGGCTCAGATTTGGTGCGCTCAGCTCCACTGTTCGCCCTGACTCTTGGGCTCGTGCAGACTGGCTCGTTTTGCAGCGCTCCTGTCCCGCTGTGGCGGACCATTGCTCAGAGGATGCATGCGGACTGCGCGTGGCGGCGTGTCATCTTGATGATGGCTTGGCTGTGATGTTCGCGGCGCCTGCGCTCTTATGTTCCTCAACAGACTCATTTTTTGTGATTGATGGCAGCGTGATGTTCGAAAAATATGTCATCCAGCCTAAGGAGCCAAACCGTTGAAGATCAATATTAGACATCTGTGAGGTTTGTACTGGCGTCGGCTGGACAACAAGGAGGCCGTTCGGATTGGCGATGGTGCTTACCGCATCTCCAGAAAGGCCATAGGCTCCTGACTCCTGACGCTTGGATTTCCTGCCAAGACTGCGGAAAATCAGTTCCATGGCCATGGAAGAGTGACTTCTTGACGACAAGCTTTTTTG